GTGAATAAACAAGTTTATTTGTAGGGAATGAGCATGCATATGATTAACTTATTACAAATTTGCAATTTAATAGTGTTTAGTCCATGCTATTAAATTGATATTGAGACTTTTAACATAGCACATTGAAATGCAATATCACAAGATTATCAAGTTTAGGGATTAAGGAGTGAAATCAAACTAAGGTGGATACTTGGATATTGCCCGGACTAAAACCGTACTCTTGAGATCACTTTAGGGCTATTAACCCATGGGTACCTTTCCCCTAGTGCGCACTATAGTTTAGGGAGTTCTTTATCTCCCGTACTAGAACCAAGTCCTAGCCATGTCAAGTTCTTAATGATATCACAAGTTTCCAAAATTAACAAGTAGAGCAACAAGTCATAAAATGTGATAAAACACAATAAGTTCCATAAATTACAAGATTAATCATAAGATCAACATGATAGAAATTGAGTAGATCAACTAGGTAATTTCTCTAGATTTCATGAGTTGTCCAAATGATTCCAATTAAATATATAGCAAGGAATAAGTCATGGTCATGCTATATTTCAAGTCTAAAATGGAATTCAAACATGGCATAATTAAGTAGTATTTAAATCAATTTATACTAATTAATTCTCTAGATTTAAAAGCTTATTTAAATCATGCCAAATTAACATACAACAAGGTTCAAGTCATGATCATGCCATATATAAGGTCTAGAGTGAATTATATGCAAGCAACAATTAAATCATCAATTCCTCAAATTAGTATTAGACATGCATACAATTTATACATCACTATATGGACAATGATTTACTTGAATAATAAATTAGAACACCCCTACCTCACAAGACGATTGTCCCTCTTGAATCCAATGAAAGCAAAAAAATTTCAAGTTTTCCTTCTACGGTTATGAATAGAAAGATGAGGCAAGGCTTTTATATTCCAAGCTCAAGGATGTAAGGCAAGTGGAAGGGCACCAAAATGAAGCTTTAAACCTTGAATCAAGCTTTGCTCCGATAGTGGTCAAGTTAGGGTTTAAGAGGAAAAGATGAAAAATGAATAAAATGAAATCAAACCCTAAGTTAAAGGTGGTGGGATTCTCCACTCACTAGGTGCTCTTGCACTGCCTCTCTCACACACACTTGTAAGACTTAATCTTGTGCTTACACTTGTCATGAATTTAAGGCTCCTTCCTACACTAAATCCCTAGCCTACACTTGTCATGAATCTAAGCCAACATGTTTTCCACTCCAAGGCCAACAAATAGGTGAATCTCTACCCTCCATGTGTTATCAAACCTAGCCTCCAAGTGGTTTCACAACCAAGCCAACAAGTGGCACCATGAGAGTGTGACACTTGTCACATTTTTCAGAAATTGCAAAAAGGTCCTTTTTGAAAATATCTTCTAAATTAAATTGCAAGATGGTCCCCAAGACGAAAAATAATTAATTTACTTAATTACACAAAACCCCTCAAGTTTAGAATAATTACCAAAAGTCATGTTTTCATGCCCTTTACAAGAAAAGTAAACATTTAATATGCTTTTCTACAAAAGTAAAAAAATGTAGATATCATGGAAAAGAAATATCATGGATGTATACAAAGCCAGAGTCAAATCCGAGCACAAAAAGCAAGGTTATGCAAGGAAAAATGAAAAAATGACAAAAGGATAAAATAGGGAAAAGACGAAAAAAAAATTATCGAAAAAAAAAAGAAAAGAAAGGAAGGTAAATGACTGGGTCGTCACAATATAGCATAGATGTACTTAACAACATCAAAAACCTGCATTGATTCATTAGAAATCATAATGCCTGAATGTACTTGACAACATCAAAACCTGCAATGATTTATTAGAAATCATAATGCCTGAATGTACTTAACAACATTAAATCGCCAATAATCAAAACCACAAGTCACAATTAAACATTAGTTTCCAACTTGGAATTGAATGCGAAATCAAGTAGTGGAAAACTTGGAGATCAAATCCTGGATAAAGCCAAGACCTATGGTTATTCCGGGCATTAACCCGCTGGGAATACCACCTTAAGTGCGCACTATAAATGGGGAAAACTCATACCTCCCGCACTAGAGCCAAACTCTAGCCATGTCTCTATAACAATGTCCCAAGTGACTCTAAAATAAATAAGTTAACAACCTATATACGAAATATATATAAAGCATGAAACTACATTCCATGCACAAGTAGGTTGTAACCATATAGCTCATGTTCTAAATCCACAATTACTATAGGATAACAAATGTCGAATCTTCAGAGCGCGATTTGTTACGCACTATAATAACATCGCATGTCAAATCTTCAGTGTGCGATTCGTTACATGCTATAATAATATAATTCAATATTAAAAACATAAACTGTAGAATCTAATACAAGTCTTAAATCATGCTTTAAACATACTACCAATGTAATGCAATAGAAACAGAAATTAATCAAGTAAACTAATTAATTTCTCTAATTTTCAATTCTCAATCAAATGATCCCTAATTAATCCACGTTAAACAACATAGCATGGTCATTACATATACAAAATCAAAAACTTAATTAAGTCATTTGAACAATAAAATGAAATTTAATTAAATCGTGATAATCAAATCCCTAAATTCTAAAACAACATCAAATGGTCTCAAATTAACATATCCTAGTATACAAGTCCTAATCATCACAAATATCAAGTTAAAACACAATTAAGTCAATGAAACCTTTAAAATAGATTTTAATTAATCCTTTTAATTAAAATCTCTAAATTTTCATACTCATTCAAATGCTCTCAAATTAAAGTATGTTAAAGAGCATGCCAAGACTAAATTTAAAAATATATCACAAGTTAATTTCATACAAGGTACAACCATGAGAATTAAATTTCACAAAAAATAATTATTAAATAAAAAGTGCAATTCTTATTCAAATAATTCTAATTTAATATATGTTAACAAACATATCAAAGCATAATTTATCATCATGCTACAATTCAATTCTAAACTATATATATCCTTGTAAATTTAATCTTATACAAAGAATTAAATATTGCTAGAGTATTGCCTTCTTGAATTTTCTCAATTTATATGTCCCCGATATGAACCCTCTCATATACATATAAATTACTTGCATAGGCAAGTGTATACCTCGATTAAATTAGGCAAGTGTATACCTCGATTAAATTACGGAATCGACCAATAGAGATCATTCACTAATAATTTATGAAACATCTCATAAACTACATATGGGACCCAACATTAAGTTTACTATGCTAGAGTATACAAACCAGCACTTTTTACACTCGTCCATCCTGTTGGAGGGAATTCATAGCTTGGGCTAGTCAACTTTGGGATGTGAAAGCAAACAACCCTAGGAATTTGGTTAGGAAACTTTATCTTGCTACTTTGGTTTATGTTATTTGGAGGGCAAAGGTTCGAGAGAAATTGATCTGCTTCGCTATCAAAGACTCAAATTATGCCAGATATATAGGTGGTCGCAGTGGAACGGGAACTACCGGGTTCATCTATCCGACCACCGGTAATGCCACCTGATTAATTTTGTCGGCAATGATTCCAATTGATCATTGTCCACTGCCTTAACAGTTGAATTAATGTAATGGCATTAGGGTTCTATACATTATTTTCATTTATACAATTACACTTTAACTTAAAAAAAAATACTATTCTAAAAGTGTAATTTATACATTTGCACTTTTCGTTGTATTGTCCATAGTTGGTTTTTTTCTGCTGCTGCGCGCTTCCTTCATATGGGGATCAGAAAGAAATGGCAGAATTTTTAGAGACTCAACTAATACTCTATTGGCCAATTCAATCTATGTATAGCATATAAAGTTAATTTCCACCATTAATTCAATTACTCTCTGCATTTTACTCTATATTGTACATATTTAGTTAATTTATTTACCAAAAATAAAAAATAAAAAATAAAAAATCTTTGCATTACTTTTTTTCTGCAAAATTAAGAATACTCTCTAATTGATGTAATATATCTACTTCCATAATAGACAGGCATGCACATATGTATACTTATATAGTATATATATATATATATATATATATATATATATATAAGCATGCAAGCAACTAAAACTTCCCGAGGAGTCGATGATTAGTACTTGTTAAGTTTATTAGTTTCTTCTTCTTCTTGTTTCTTAATTCTAGAGATTGAAGAATTTTTTTATATTTTATTTTATTTTCAAAAGTTGAATCATAAATATCAAATCAAGCCTCAGACCGCCCTAATTTCGTTAAATTTTTCATGCACAGTGATATATGGTATCTTTTAAAAGATTCGTAGCAAATAATAGCAAGTCACTCTGCCCTTTCCAAAAACAATATATATAGGAAGTCACTCTAAATTCTGATATATGGTAACTTTTAAAAGATTTTGTATATTCGCAATCAATGCAATTCAGTCTAAATATTGACTTTTCTATGAAGAAATCGCATCATATATTATTTTTGGTTAGTAGCTATAGACCGCCAAGGAAAAATCTCTCTCTATAAAAGCCATGAGGGCGATGCTTTCATTCACTGTGTATTAGGTTTTGGAAGATTTCTGGTATTAGAAACTTGCTAAGAGAAGCCATTAAAACTAAGGTACGTATAGTTAATTTCTTCCATTATTAATTATTGTATTGTAATTCTTTCTTTGTTAGTAGATTAATACATTGATTAATCTATTGTAGTTTTACTTTATTATACATGTATATATTATGGTACGTTCAAAATTTTCTCGCATAGATTTTATAACTTTTGATCAGTACATCGTGTATTAGTACTACACGATTGAGAAGTGAAATCCAAATACTTAAGCATAGTACCAAATTAAAATTGCAATTTTCTGAAAACAATTCTTAGAATTATAAGAGACTGTTGTCTAATATTATAAACTGTACGTTTCATATTTCAATGTATATTTTCAATGATCAATCTTTTATCCTTTTTCTATTTTTTCTCTAATTGGCCCATATATTTGTGTGTTACTAAACAATATGCAGATGGGTCGAGCAAAACTAGAGATGAAACTCATTAGTAATGAAAGGGCTCGTAACATAACCTTCCAGAAGAGAAAGAAGTGCTTGAAGAAGAAAATTTATGAACTAACAACTCTTTGTGATGTGAAAGCCTGCATGATCATTTATGGTCCGAGACTGGATGACCGTCCGATTGAGCCGGAGATCTGGCCTACTGATCTGAGTGAGATCCAGCGCTCCATCAAGTTATACAAAGACCAAACCAGTGAACATCATAGGAAGAGGACCCTTGATTTGTCTAACTTCTTTGAGGACCGGAAGAAGAAGGCTGAATACGCCCTCGAAAAACAGTGCAAGAAGAATGAGGAGGCGAAGTACCCTTCGTGGGATGATCAGTACGACCAACTCTCAATCGAACAATTGAAGAAATTTCATATTATTTTGGCGGGCAAGCTTGAATTTGTGAAGAAAAGGATTGAATCCATCAAGGGTGACAAAATAATGGCGGCAGGATCAGCATCAGCATCAGGTATGATGGACAGCTTTTACGCACAATCAACTCAAAACCCGCCTTCTTGTTTCAACTCAAGGCAGCCTCCTTCAATGAATCCGCATGATCATATCAACGTGCCCATTCCTTATAATCCGTTCGATCACGGGCTTCAATTCAATCCGAATTCGATGATGATGAGGGTGAACGATGCTGATGGTGGCGCGTCTAGCAGCAATACACTGTACGCGCCTCTATACAGGCCGGTTTACTACGATCCCTTATTTGATCAAAAGTTTGATCAGAATATGATTGTGAACAACGCTAGGCCCTTAATGTGCTACTACGGTCCGTCCATGCAGCCGATGCCGCAATATGTGCAGTATCCTCCTGTCCCTGTGATGCCAAGGGCTTCGTCTCATCATATGCATGCTGCTCAGAGGGATGAGTATTATGAAAACGGTGATTTTCATATGAGAAATCAGAAAACAAATTAAGGTATAAAGCTAGACCTGGATTCTAGCTAGTAGTAGTTCTGGTATGAGTATGAATTTTAGTTTGTTGGTTTTGCTTTTAATTAAGATTGTGACATTGGATATATCTTATGGACTATTACTTTTGTTGATTGTATATATTCCAATTACTACATGCATTTATGAACTCTCATTTTGATTTTTATGTGAATGCTTTCATGAGTGCTATTTTTCTTTTCTTTCTTTTTTTTTTATTTTTTATTTTATTTTTTTAAATAAAACAGGGAAAAAAAAAAATAGCATTAGTTATGAAAAAAACAAAAAAACAATAACCTCAATATTAACCCATTTAGTTACAAAAGTAATTTTAGCCCAAACAAAATGCCAAAAAGCCCCCAATCAAACAAAGGCACGCTCCTATTTCACACATTTTATTTTATTATTATTTTATTTATCACTGTCTCAGGATTTGTGTGTCACAGTTCTCTTTTCACCACGGACTAATCAAATCCAAATTTACAGATTTACAGCGACTCGTACTTTGTCCAAATTTACAAACTTACATCGCCCTAGTGGTGACTGGATGAAGGACTCTTTGGAAGCTCCCATTCCATCATGATATTCCTTGATGCCTATGGATTCCCTATGCACCATCGAATGCTACGGATTAGTCGATTGTGTTCAGCTCAGAGACCTAGGTCTTTGGCCTTTGTTGAACACTCGTCCCTTCATCGATACAGGGACGGATCTATGTACAAATGCCCCACTGAATTTTATTATTTTTAGTAATATGTCCTATTATTTTATTTATTTTGATATACATACTTGTAAAATAATTTTGTGTCTCCATTGGGCACCTATAAGTAGGTGTAGGAAAGGCTCGAGAGAGCTATTTGAATCCATCCTTCAATTAATTTAAAAAAAAAATTAATAGGATGATAATGAGATAGGGGAAACAAAGAGTTGAGATCTCGCGCTTGATTTGGTCCATCGTGCTTACTTTCAATCTTTCATTGTTTGATGACACTGTTGCAATTGATTGATTTCCTATTTGGGTTTCCTGGTTTGGTACTCTATATATATATATATATATATATATATATATATATATATATATAAACAAGTATATATCAAACACTTTCCTACTTGGGTTTATGTAAATAGGTAGTTATATATAAATTACTCGTACTTTCTTATTAGGGTTTCCTCGGTTTTGTAGTCGGTGTATATATATTTATATATAAATAGATATACATTAATTACTTTTATAATAAGAAACTGATATCCGGCTAACTAACGAAAATTGATCTATTTTAAAAGTTCATTTTTGACTTTGATTGAATTAAGTAAAATAATTACATATACATCAATAATTATTATTGAGGTCAAAAATGCTCTCCAAACACTTATTTCAGCATACTAAAAATTATTCCTAAAATCAAACACTTTCTTTAAATAATTAATTTCCTTAAACTTTGAACCATAATGTTGCAAGAATAACTTATACAAATAATAAAAAAGATTCAATATAGTAAAAAAATGGGTTTGCTGTGGTGCATGCCTTTGCCAATTGCCATTTAGCTAATAAGCCCGTGGATATTGAAGTTCCACAAGCGGTACTTCCGGATACTGTATTTGAAGCAGTTGCTCGAATTCCTTATGATATGCAACTGAAGCAAGTTCTTGCTAATGGTAAAAGGGGGGCTTTGAATGTGGGGGCTGTTCTAATTTTACCTGAGGGGTTTGAACTAGCGCCTCCCGACCGTATTTCTCCCGAGATGAAAGAAAAGATAGGCAATCTATCTTTTCAGAGCTATCGCCCCAATAAAAAAAATATTCTTGTGATAGGCCCCGTTCCTGAGATGATCATCAATTTTTTAGCTCAATTAATTACACTTATTTTATAAATAAATAAATAAAATGATTGCTGGTGTATCATTTATTGAAGCAACTATTTTTTTTTTTCATGATCTCCCTCTCTCGTGAATGTGTTGGTATGTGTCACATTTGCACTGGAAAAAAACAAAAAAAAAAACAAAAAAAAAAAAAAAAAAAAAAATCTATACATATTGAATTTTCATTAAATTATTTGTATATTTCTAAATTAATATTTGTAGGTTTGAATCGATATGGATTAGGAGATATCGTTAAATTTTTTTGCACAATATATATATGTTGTTTTTTATTTTATTTATTTTGGTAATATATATACCAATGCGAAGTTGAAAGTCAACTTATAAATCTTTTTTTTTTTTTAAATTTTATGAATGAAAGAATGATTTGATTTAGGAAGGAAATTTTGGTATTTTGAAATCAGAGTTTGGAGGATATTTTGGACCTAAATAATAGTTTTTAATGCATATGCAATTATTTTACCTAACTCGATCAAAATGAAAAATTAACTTTAACAATAGATTGATTTATTATTTAAGATTCCTAAATCTACTTAAATGTAATTTTTTTTAAATTTATTTTTATAAGTTCAGATTCTTTAACTCGTCTCATGTTACCCCAATCCTCTCTTCTCCTCTCCTCACCCTTTGCTAAAATAAAAGATCTCACTAATGATAGAGTGTCTTAATTAAAAGGAGTTATTGAACAGGTTAAGACAAGTTGTATTGAATAAAATTAAAAAATCTGTGAACCACTAGTCATTAACCCTTCTAATTTCTTGCTTTTGTTCTATTTTTTTCATTAGAATATAATTTTTTTATTTGATTTTGAAAATATTTTTTCTTCCTTATCAATCTATCAAAATTCATTTTAGAATAAATTTTATCCATTGGATACCATACAAAATTGGAGTTATCCTTAAATAAAAGGAATCAGGAAAAAAAAAAATCGTTAAATAAAAGGAGAAAAGTTTAAGACTGTCTAGGATAATAAAAATGTTTGAATTAGAAACAAATTGTATATCAATAAATAGATCCAATCTAATTATAGAAAAATATTTAATTGAATTGAAAATTATAAGAAAGTTTAATTTAATACAATAGAAATGATGCTATATAGAAAAATTTTGTTTGATTTTATAAAATAAAATAAAAATAAAAACCAACATTATATATATATATATATATATATGAGGATACCAAAGGCGGCATGGGCCAGATCTAACCCACGTGATGAAGAATGGGCCAGGCAAATGGCCTGGGCCCAAATCAAGTTGTCGTGAGGCAAGCCCAATGCCGAAGAGTGAAGCTGAAGGCCTGAAAGACGAATGGATCCATGGATACAAAAGCCTCAATGATGAGTGATCAGTTGGTCAATCATACATCAACATTCGCAATAGCACGAATCATTATAAAATAGGGGTATTGGTTTGGTAAGTCGAACCACTGGGACTGCGCTAGTCTTACGGCAACCTTAGTGTCTAGAATCTTTCTAGAATGATGAGGGGGTGTTCATAAAGGTTTTGTTTGTTGTCACTTAAATTAGGAATTCAAAGTGCATAAAACACTAATTTGCAAGGAATTTAGGATGAAATAGAACAATAGAGAAGAGGAGACTAGGGAAGTGAATCCGCCTCCATCCCTATACATATGCTAGATTAGACCTAAATTGGGGAAAAACAACATATGATGGTCAAGACTTACATAGCAACACATGGTTTCCATATAAGTAATCAAGAGGTACATTAGGTCTCAAACAAGTATAATCCATCAAAAGATAAACATGCTTAGACTACCTAACTAAGGTGTAGCTTATACACATTTACTTAAATGAGAGACTATCAAGTTCTTGACAAAATGATAAAGCACATGGAGTTAGAGATTAAGCATACACCATCAAAGGACTTCCTAAGCAATGGTCTATCAAAGTCACCTATCAACATGCCATGAAACCATTTCATAACCTTACTTCCACTCTCACCATGAAAAACTCAAGCAATATGATTACTCTAAGACATCATCTAAAGCAAGATAATCAACTTAAAGAAATCATCCATACATGTATCAACATTCATTACAACAAATGAGGTGCTCTTGGTTATGAAAAGACCATAAAATATACATGGCAAATCCCCAAAATAGACTATCCTAGGACATGCTTACAAGGGAGGGACTTCATCACCTCCCTAGAGAAAGAGTTAGTTACCCATTGCTAAGCTAGAAGAAGGAAGAAACTTCATCTTCATGGCCATTTTTGTGCAACCTTCTTGGAGCTTGAAGAACTCTCTTTCTTGCTCTCTTCTCTCTCCTCTAATCTAGTAGAATTCAAGGATCTCCCATGTGTGTGGCCCTTAGTTGCCTTATATCTATCAACTAAGCTCTCTCTCTCCTCCAAAGACATTCCCAACCACTCCATAAAGAAGGAGGGTGGAAATGTGGAAACCAATGCACAAGTGGGCTGAAGAGGAGTTCATTTCCGAGCTACAATCTGGCTGATTTTCGAGCACTCGAAGAGTGGTCTCGAGCACTCTAAATTAGTGCAATGTGCAACATGCTCTTCTTGCTCAGCACTAACCTACTTTGGTAAAACTGCTAAAAATTTGTGCCCCGAACTCCGAATGATGATCTGTTTGAAGATTTGGAGAGCTGATTCAGTGCTTCAAAAACTTCATGTTTTGATAAAGACCCAATTCTTAAGTCTGGTTGGTCGAAAATGGGGAGAAAGGCAGTACTTTAGTGCTGCCAGGCAGTTCTGCGCACCTATGTTAAGAAGATCATAACTCTCTGTTCCGAACTCCGAAGGACAAACCGCTTGAAGATTTGGAAAGCTAATTCAGAGATCTAAATCTTTCATGTTATGATGGAAGTCCAGTTCTTGAGTTTGCTAGGTCAAAAATGGAGACAAAATTCAGGTTCTACCGCTGCCAGAAATTCAGAATTGGCACCCTTTTTGTTCATAATTCCACAAGGCATCATTTTTGCTTCCTTTTTGCACTTTAACCTGAAAATGCACAAAAAACATGCAAATGGAGTTAATCTACATAAAATAATCAATTAATGGACTTTGTTAATGTAATTTAGGGTGCCTAAATATACAGTATTCAGCGCTTATCACACCCCCAAACTTACATTTTGCTAGTCCCTTAGCAAAACCAAATGCAAAGCTCAATGGAATGAAAACACGGGAATGCTATTACAAAAATATTCACCATGGCAAAAATAAACATAAACATAGCTCAAATACAACTTGAAACAGATAAAGAGCTGGAGACGGGATCATTGGGAAGACTACCTTGCATATATGAAGCACTGATACAAAAATTGGGAAAAACCATTTCAACATGCATGCATCAACATCATAGTCCATATAAATAATTCAATTGTCATCTCTTAAATGGAAATAACTCAAACTCTAGTGAAAGTGAATTGGATTCTCAACATGCGGCTTTTACTTTCTTTTCCAATTCCAAAGCACAAGTTTTCAAATCATTGAATTCCCCTTTTAATGAGGTCCTTAAGGCATGATTTTATTTACAAGACAACTTTTGTTACTTGTTGACAATTTATTGCAACTCATAAGCGAAACATATAATGGTTGTGCAATGCTGAAGTCCCTTAAGCTTTCTAACCAACCTATGTAGCAAGCGTTAGGCCAACAGCTCCCAAACCAGATGGCTTTAGGGTGTTAAGTGTAGAGACACTCTTAGGGCTTAATAGCTCAAGTTGGAAAGGCTACGAACTCCAACGAACCATGTTTATTACAATTTTTTTTGAATTAAACTAAGTAAGCTAAAGGTGTGGTACAATCCATCAAGAAACAAGTGTGAACCATCAAATAAATTGCAAGAGTGTTCAATTAAGCTCTATGTTTTGACCATCTCTTGATTAACTTCATCCATATACATAGACATGCATAAATTCCACTAAATCTAGAGAAAAACACATGAATCATCCATTCTAGTAGAGACCATAAGATATATATATATATATATAAATCCAAGATCAAAAAATTGTTACAAATAAATCCCCAAAAATATACAAAGAACTAAGTTTAGGAAGCAAACTTAGGGGCTACTCTAGCCCCAAGTAGATGTTGAGCCACTCATTGAAATAGTTATCCAACCCTCAAGAACTATCTCCATGGTAGGAATGGCTTCCTTCTTGATGGAAACTCTAGAAGAATGGAAGAACTCCCAAAATATGTAAAGCTCTCTAATCTCTAGCCTCCTCTCCAAGATATGAGATATACAAGTTATGTTGAATGTTACAATTTATGATGTAAAAATGGCTCAAAATCCTTATATAGGTAGGTCGAGTGTCGCACCCAATGGTCTGGGCTCGTACACCAAGGTCCCTCCAATGATTGCACTATGAGCCAACTTTTAATGAGCTGGAATCTATTTTTTTTTTTAACTTGAGGAGGTTCGATCGATCGAACTGTGTTGAGATCGATCGAACTTGGCTGAGATCCATCGAATGCTGCAGAGATCGATCATTCTTTTGAAATATTGGATCGATCGAACCTGTAGGATTCTTTTGGATAAGGACAAAGGTTTTGATCCATCTTGAACTGTTTAGATCGATGAACTTTCGATCGATCGAAGAAATGCTGAGATCGATCGAACATGCTGAATTTCTACACTTTGCTTCATTTAGCTTCCACTTTGCTCCTTTATTCCATTCAGCTTGAGTTAACTTCTTTTAAGCTCTTATTTGGCTAAATTGACTTATTTTTGGGATAAGCACCTGAAATAGGCAATAACACATTAGTCTAAAATGGGAAAGTAAGATAGATAAAGGTCCTAGAATGCTTAAGCTTAAGGGGTTTAAACGCACACTTTTTAGTGCTTATCAGCTCCATTTTTGTATTCATCATGTTGACACTTGTGGGAGAATAGGGTTTCTCCTCTTTTTCTTGGTTCATGTTTGGGACTTCACAAGGAGTGAGTCTCTTCTCTTCGTCGCCTTATACACGGTTTTGGGGTTGGTTTGTCTGTGAGGATCACCGTTGTTGTTTTGAGTCCTTGGTAAGGATTTGATGGATTTTGGTTGACTTACTTCCATATAAGGGTGAAGTCTTTGACCTTGTTGTCTTTCGTTTCAGAGACGGAGTTGTGGTGTTGTTCTTCTTGGGACTGGTGGTTCCCTTTCTTTCATGTCTTCCCTTGGGGAGTTTTACCGTGGTTGTCGACGGGATTATGGTGTTCAGAGTGAGTTGATTGGTGTGAGATCATTTCATGAGGACTTGTGTTCATACCA